CAACGCTACACGCGCATTCATCCATATAACATAAAATGCGAACGTTCGTTATATGGAAGAAAGTGCGCAACACCGCAAACAGAAAAATTCAAAAAATCAATGGTATTTTCTAGACACTTCAAACTTGCACCTTATTATACTAGAATGATTGGACTACAAAATTGTTAACCCAAAACATGTCTACAAATTCTGAACAAAAACTGTGAAAATTTGATGAAACTTTGTTGATTTTTTTCATTCTTTCAAGTTTCGATTTATTTGCAAGGTTTTTGTTTGATAATGAGCTACAATTTTATAAAAAAAAAAATATTAAAATTATTTAAAAAAATAAAATAAATACCGGGTGACCGTGTAATTTTGTCAAAGATGAAGACAATGATGATAAAACATTAATACACTATATAGGTCAGTTCATATTAATGAACATAAAATGAGATCACTATCGATAAAATGGAAATCCTCAAGGGAAATTTATAATTTCAACGCATGGAATTTACATATATTTTTTTACTTTCAACCCTCAACGTAAATTGCATTTCCAAAGATTTTTTCAAAATAAATAGCGATGAGGGATATTTCACCCGCCGGTGATAAGAAATCGCAATCACCATAACGCACATCACTAATATTACTGTTCACAATCACGTTTACATTCAAAATTACAATTCATAATTTCGTTTTGTAGCAAATATGAAATATAGGTATATCCATTTACTTAAATGTAAACGGATTAAGAATCAAAGTGCTAGAAGAGATTTGAGCGTTTGGTACAAAAAGTATTTTTGATGTTGAAATTGTACTTAAAATCGGCAAATTGTACTTTTGTACATTTTAAAATTAATTGTACTGAAAAAAGTACAATTGTACTTAAAATATCAACACTGTTTCACTGGCGCTGTACTTGCTGCAGCGATGCCAGATTTGAGCGTACCCAATTTTTTACCGATAATAACTCATGCGAGGGATTTGGGTATTGGGCATTTTACAAGCCTATTAGGAAGTATACATATCTGTGTTCGTATAGAATAGTAGCTTATGTCGGAAGACTGGCTTTAGTATAATGAACCATTCGCAGCATACGATTGCGAAAGACTCACTGGCGCCGAGTCGTTGAAGAACTCTTGGAAAATAAACGTAAAAGACGGTAATGTTAATGGCGATGCTAGCAAGTCAATATTCGTATAAAGTTTCATAAAAAAATTCCTTGTGGTTTAAAGAATATAGGAAATGGTACATTTTACTAAAGCCAGCCTCCCGACATAAGCTACTATTTCATACGAACACAAATATATTCGTCTACAAATAATGTTGATTATTTTAATTAAGTCCAAAGATAAGTTTGTGAATCTTATCAGTGTTCTATGTAAGAACCAAAAATCAAACCCCTCGCCAATTAGAACTTTTGCTTTAAAAGAAAAATATACAAAGCGCATTTACTAAATACTTAATCTGATGTGCTCAGCACACTGTTGCCAATGTCGTGCATTTTGCACTAAATTTAGTGCTTTTGGGAAACCAAAAACGCCAAAATAATTGGAATCCAATGCTTGGTGCGGTATTTAGTGATGCTTTTTTAATTTAAGCACACCGAATGCATAGGTACATATGTATGTATGTATACCCTATACACTAATATTCTACATTAAGATGGAATTCATTTACTGAACAAAATGTGAGGAATAGGTAAATTAAATATGTTTTGCGTTGCTATAAATGTATTGAAATTAATTTATTAATAAAAACGTGAGGAAATGGATATGTATATACACTTTTTACTGAATCAAAAAAATTATTAAACATGATAATAAAAAGTTGGCGCTTTTGTTTTGGAAAAATTGGCTTTTTCTGGTGGCCTGATGCCACACTGGTTCAATGGTCGCAAAAGTACACATACATACACACATTTTTACTTGAAAATAAGTGTGTAGTGGTTAATATGTATACGATGCCATCTCCGTACAGCTCACTTCACCTCGCCTAGCACGCTCGCGTGCGCGCAGTTTGCCCGCGACGTCGACTGCATGCACCTCTGCTGTGCATCCCTACTTTACACCCTCAACTATTTCGGCCTCAGATAGGGAGCTTAAGTATTCTGAGTAGACTACACCTTTTGCAGTATTTAACGTTGGATGTAAGCTAACTTCTATGTCATACAAGTTTGATAGTTTGGTGGCTTTCAAAAATTTCGCGGTTTGTTTTTCGTTTGAAGTCAGGACAAGAAGGTGGCCTTCCCTCGTGAATGAGTTGGATTGTGGTTTTTCGTTTGTAATGCTTTCTAGCGCTTTGGCTACTAGGAAAATGTTTAGTGACTTGATTGGGGTATTTGGGTTGTTTGTTTTTTACTAGGATAAATTTTGGGCAGGTGTTTTTTTGCTAGTCTGGTAGGTTTTTAAGTTTGGAAGGTCGAAGGTGTTGTCTAGATTTGGGGTTTTACGTTTTTTTCTTTCTTGTCCGAGTATAGAGTAGTAGTTTCGGCCCTTTCGCCCCGGATCGAAGCCCATCCTGGCTTTTGTTATTTCACTGGTTTAAATTGGTTTGTTTCACTTTAATTAATTGAAAAATAGTCTTCACACACATGACCGGATTGAAAGAATGTGTCGAAAAGACGAAAGCGCAAAGGCAAAGAGAGAATTAGTTATCGACTGAACTCTATGAGAGATGATTGACAACTGATAAGGTTTTTTAAATTTGCATAATACAATTAATTTGTAGACACTAGTAAGACTACGTTGCGATGAAACACTTCCACCAAAGGAATAAAATGAAACGTTCTTACTCTTACATTTATCGGAATCATTTGCTTCTTCATCTTCTTTGGTTGAAATTGAGATGGAAGTTTTAAAGAAATCTTGGTATCTGCTATATGCTCAATGCTCTGTTTCTCAAAGACAAAGTCAAGAAGTTCTGTCGTATTGGCATACAAGACTGGTCTTTTTTTAATTCCTTCCTTGGCCGTTTCAAATTCAAAGAGACCTTATTTATAAAGATCTTCCATCATCTTTCAGTTTTCATACATATGTTGGTTATAATTTGTTGGAACTGACTTTCTTTCAGCTGAACTACGAATGAAGTTTTGCAATTTTTTTCATATAATTTGTAGACGATGCATTATCTAAACTTAGCTTGGAAGTTATCTTAACTTTGAGCAGAGAAGAAGACTATTTCCTTTTCTTTTTTCTTATTTAATGTTATGCCTGCCTCAGAACCCATTGTATTCAAAAGAAACTCATTTGCTCCTTTACTACTCGTCAGTTTTCTTTTCAAAAGGGTAGTTACTGTTTAGTTCTGTTGTTTCTCAGGTAAATATTCTACTAAATATATTGAAAACATTATCACGTGCATTAGACGAAGAAGGGTCTCCGCAAGAATGTGGAATACCTTCGCCTATTCCTTGAAAACACCTGCTACGGATTTCAAAAGAAGCTCGTGGTTTGTTTGCAATTTCTTCATATTTATAAAGCGACGTATTTTGCACAGTACCTTCAAGACCATTGGTTAAATCAATTTTGGAGGGGAATTTTCGAACATGACCTCTAACTTTATTTTTTTTCGAATGTCGAGTGGGTCGCGTTGTTAGGCAAACGTAATAGTTGCAATTCATAGTTCTTGTTTCTTTTGCCAAATTTATATCTTCATATATTACAAACAACCAAGCGTTTCTATTCTAAATTTTCTAAGCGTGTCGATGTCATTGACACCTATAACTATTTATCTAATATCGTTGTCTTTTCTCGAAAAAAAGGCTGCACTTATTCTGCCTTGTGTTAGCGCTGTCACATTTTCATGTTCTTTTCTCAGCCCTTTCACAAGGCGTCGTGTTCTTTTCTCAGCAGGTTGCGCTCTGATCCGGCTGCCTTTTCTGCCCTCAAATAAACGTGAGGGTGAGAGTTGCATGGTTGATTTTTAATTTAATCTTGTAAAAATGCAATTATTTTCCCTATCAGAAATAAGTGTTTTGCTTTAAAATTGTTAAAGACTTACAGGCCAAGTGAATAATTCAGCTTTATTAAGTTCTATAAATAAATTGTGATGGAGTAGTATATTTTCTGTTTCATTCTCATATAAAGAGCGCAACATTTTCTCAGGTTTCAGGGCAACGCAAAGCAAGAGTTCCCATATAAAAGGCCAGAACTTTTTTTGAGAAAAGAAAACGCAATAACTCGCCCCTGTCACGGGTGAGTGAAATTAAAGCTTTGGGAGTAATATTTGATTCTAAGCTAGCCATTACAAGCCAAATAAATTGCATTATTACGAAATCTTTCGCCATGCTTGCTTTTGTCAGGCGTCATAGCTCGGATTTCTCCGATCTCTATACACTAATGCTTTTGTATACTGCGTTTGTGCGTTCCAAACTGGACTATGCCTCCTTCATTTATACGTACCATGCTGCTAGAGTTGAACGGATCCAGAAAATATTCTTCCACTTTGCGTTGCGTAATTTACGCTTATCGGATCCTATCCCCACCTATGAATCACGATGCTTATTGATCAACTTAAAATCATTGCAGAACAGAAGAATAACTCTATAGAGCGTGTCAGACGTGGCAATATATTTTGTATGCAATTGAGAAATTTCAGAAAGCATTAAAAATTCGCTATACTTTGCCAGAAATAGGAAATGGTCCATTACTGGAAATCTCAGCCGAAATATGCACTTACCTCTCGCTGTGGTGTAGTGGTAAGCAGTACGCGCTTCCACTCCGCATGACCTGGGTTCAAGCCCTGGTCAAAGCAACATCGCAAAAAAATTTTGAAAAAAAGATTTTTTCTTAACAACGGTCGCTCTCGGTAGGCAATGCAAACCTTCTCTGCGATGAGAAACAGCTTCTCATAAAAATACAATCGCCGTTCGGAGACGGCGTAAATCTGTAGCTCCCTCCCCTTTGTATGACAAAATCAAGGCGCACGCCACAAATCGGAGCTCGGCCATTCGCCAATATATTATTATTATTACATGTATACATGTATCTGATGTATAATTTTAAAAATATTTTATACAGAAAACAGATCCTGAGAGCTTTTTAGTGGTCCATCTAGCAAAGAACTGTGAAGAGGACGTGGAGTTTTTGCAAAAAACGAATGGTATGGAGCCGTTGCAAAGTGTTAACAACATAAGTGATATAAGCATACAAGCCCTAGCTACGCAGTGGATTAGTGCAAGCAAAATGTGCCCTGGATCATTTAGTGTGCAAGGTAAAAATTATATCCTTAGTAGAGATTTTTTAAATATATTTGTAGGGTAATTATAAGTATTCTGACATTGATTGAGTATTGAGAATTATATACAACTGATCGCTAATACTCGTATACAATCTAATTGCTAAGTTTTAAAAAAGTATTGATACAACCGGTTTAGTCGGAATGATATGAGATTTACCTCCCTATTATGAATCCATTTAATACACGATAAACGCTTGCATTGGGGCACCGAAATTGCGCATATGGAAACTGTGCATTTAGACATTATTTCGGTTTCAACCGAAACTGTGCATGTATGCTTTATTACGGTTTTTGTCATATGCATTATTTCGGATTTCAACCGAAATTGTGCATGTATGCATTTCTTCGTTTTTTTTTTCATTTCATTATTTCGCTTTTAAAACGAAAGTATACATATGCATAATTTCGGTATTTTCTCATATGCATTATTTCGGGTTTCAACCGAAACTGTACATGTATGCATTACTTCGGATTTTTCATATGCATTAATTCGGTTTTCAACCGAAACTGTGCATGCATGCATTATTTCGGTTTTTGTTATATGCACTAATTCGGTTTTCAACCGAAACTGTGCATGAATGCATACCTTCGTCTTTCACATATGCATTATTTCGGTTTTCTTCCGAAACTGTGCATGCATGCATTACTTCGTCTTTCACATGCATGCATTATTTCGGTTATTGTTACATGCATTATTTCGGTTTTCTAACGAAAGTGTGCATATGGATAATTTCGTTTTTTTCTAAAATAAATTATTTACTTCTACTTAGTAAGGGTTTTAATCCCTAAGCGCCGCCGAAAATCGCCTAAGCAGAGAGAAGTTCTGCGCAGAAATACTTCCGCCCTTCTTTTCCGACAACACAGAAAGCAGAGTTCTACTTAGTAAGGGCTATAATCCGTAAGCGCGGCCGAAGGCCGCCTACGCAGAAAGAAGCTCTGCTCAAAAATACTTCCGGTCCCATTTTCCGGCAACACAGAAAGGAGAATTCTACTTGGTAAGGGTTATAATCCCTAAGCGCGGCCGAAGGCCGCCTACGCAGAAAGAAGCTCTGCTCAAAAATACTTCCGGTCCCATTTTCCGGCAACACAGAAAGGAGAATTCTACTTGGTAAGGGTTATAATCCCTAAGCGCGGCCGAAGGCCGCCTACGCAGAAAGTTCTGCGCAAAAATACTTCCGGTCCCCTTTTCCGGCAACACAGAAAGGAGAGTTCTACTTAGCAAGCCGAAGGCCGCCTACGCAGAAAGTTCTGCGCAAAAATACTTCCGGTCCCCTTTTCCGGCAACACAGAAAGGAGAGTTCTACTTAGCAAGCCGAAGGCCGCCTACGCAGAAAGTTCTGCGCAAAAATACTTCCGGTCCCCTTTTCCGGCAACACAGAAAGGAGAGTTCTACTTAGCAAGCCGAAGGCCGCCTACGCAGAAAGTTCTGCGCAAAAATACTTCCGGTCCCCTTTTCCGGCAACACAGAAAGGAGAATTGTACTTAGTAAGGGTTATAATCCCTAAGCGCGGCCGAAGGGCGCCTACGCAGAAAGTTCTGCGCAAAAATACT